AATTTGATCACCATCATGGTGGTGTTGGGAGGTGATGTGGTGGGGTGATCAGGTCTTCAGGTGGATTCACATCTTTCTTGTGCAACTGGGTTGGTTACTGCAAGAGCAGGTTATCACAAAGCAAGGTTGATTCCTCGTGTTCTGCCTCATCCACACCAGGCCCATGCACCCTTCTGCTTTTCCTCCTTGTTATAAAGAAGCACAGGGCTCTTGCCAGATGGAGCCATCTGATGTTGGAATTTCAGCCTCCAGAACCATGAGCTAAGTAAACTTCTTTTCTTTATAAATCACTCAGCCGGAGGCATTCTGTTATAACAACAGAGGACGAAGACACACAATTTTTAAAACTTTAAAATGAAGTCCCTCTACTAGAAATGAAAAAAAAAGTAAATAGTGTGGCTTTAGTTTTTCATCGATCCAGTCATGTCCTGGCTCCTTACTTCTGGTTTGACTTAATTATGACACATGCCTGGTCTCCAAAAGAGTAAAGACCTTGAAATATGCTTTGTTTTTAAATTAAACTTATTTTCTTAACTGATACAGAAAATACAAAAATTGCTCATGTTAAGGGGGTGCCATGTGACTTTCCTATACATAGATGTATTGTCTAACTAGGTTAAACACATCTATCTCATTAAACATCACTTCTCTATGGTGAAAACATTCAAAATCCTTGAAAATCCTTCAAAATATCCTTGAAGTATTTGTTTAAGTATTTATATATGTATATATGGATTTATTTAGAGACAGAGTCTTACTATGTAGCTGGTCTTAAACTCACTATGTAGACCAGGCTAGCCTCAAACTCATGGTGATCTGCGTGCCTCAGCCTCCAGAGTGCTGGGATTATAGGTGAACACCACCTTCCCTGGTCTCAACACTCATCTAGAAAAGAGGCTGAGAGCAGTGAAAAAGTTGGATCCCTGGCTATGGCAGCCTACTCTTTTGAACTATCAAGAGTAATTCATTTCCAATCCCCAAATCCTATATATTCAACTAAGCAAAACAGTAACTCTGCAAATACTCTGACACCCATGAGGGGTTGGGGAGAAAGTGAGCAAAACTTTTCTCTTTCTCTAGAATGCTTTAAGAGGCCTCTCTTAGCCACCACCATCCACATAGTTTAGGAAAGTACCTCATGTGGCTGGGAGCTGGGTGGGGCACTCACGTGAAGACTGCACTTTCCTTCGCTGGGGGCACCGGGTGTGTTTAGGTCTGTGTGAAACCCATGCAGTGACTCACAGCTAATCTAGACATTACTTTTTCTATAGCTTTTCAAAAACCCTCCAGAGAATTCCTGGCATTTAGAAACCTCCTCTCCTAGTAGAATTCTCTTTATCAAATACAGTCCGTTTTGAAACCAGCCAATCTCTTGAGAGTCAGCAACATCAACAAACGCACTGCACTTCTAGTACTTTTGCATTTGGCCAGTGTAAAACAACTTTCCTGGTTCATGGGAGAAAATACGGCTAATTAAATGCATCGGCACTGCCATTTCTAACAATTGTAAGAAAAACAGCAGTCATTTTTACCTACTCTTTTCACTTGATTTTTCTCAACTGCCCTGGAAAGCAAGAACACACTCTTTGACACCTAAGCTCAGATAAACACGTTAATTTATAAAAATGCGATTTTATAAGGTGTTTGAGCTCTAAATAATACTAAGAATGGGGCTTTCACAATTCCAAATGCATCCACTACAGTGTATTTATGCTGCTAAAAACTGGAAACAATCTCAATATCCCAAAGCAGGGAAACATTTAAGCAAAAATAGGATATTTCTATATGATGTGGTACTATGCAACCACTAAATGTGATTTTTACAAATTTTAACTAATAAGGAAAAATTCGTGTTACGTTTAAGACAAATTCATATGATGCAAATTGTTTTATTCGCATCTACGTATATATTGTAGAGAGACTGGGAGAAATCTGCTAAAATAGTGTTTTCTCTGATGGAGCTAATATTAGATTTTAATTTTTTCTTATTTTTATATTGTAAATATGCCACTGTTATGATGAAGGAAAGATAAACAACTCAAAGGCTGTAATACTGAGAGGATTTTTCCCATGCCCAAGCCTCTGAAAGGGATGCGTTCCAACTTTCACCCTTGTGGTGCAGATAAATGTGAAGGGAGAATAAGTGATTGCTCCAAGTTTGTTGATAGCGTGAGAAAATGATAATTTAACGTAAATATAGAACTCAAGGAAATGCACAGACATTGAGTACTGGAAAACAATGCATAAACAAATTTCTTCTCCTAGGATTTTAAAGCAAATTCCTACAGTTATGTGAAGTTGGCTTCTTGGACAACAACGTAAGAGAGGCACAGGGGTCTCTGTCTTTCCAAAATTAGCACATATCCTTACCAGTGTGTGACATCCTCCACCTCAAAAAACAAAACACTCAAGACCAAAAACCAATCCAAAACAATGTTCCCAAGAAGAACAAAGTTTATTCAGTTTTATGATGTAATTAAGGGAAAGTATCTTTAGCTCTTTTTTTGTCTAAGAATATGAATATCATTAGAAGGCAAAAAAAAGGGTCTTGAAATCTGTCCTTTTTTTTTTCATACTTCAAGTATACATGAAACTCAACTAGACAAAGATTTTCCTCTCCATCTCTCTAATTGTCTACCAGAATCAAAAGGTGATAAGCATATATTTCTTCTGTACAATGAAAACAGCGTTATCTAAATCAACTATGGAATCATCATGGAAACACAAGTGAATAATAATATGTTTCTTAAACACGAAGTGAAATTTTAAGTTCAATAACCCATTATGTTATTTACGTTGTAGAACAATGTAAGGAGATTTCACAGGGAATAACTGTAAAACATGACTAAGATTATTAGATATGGGCTAAAAAGGAAAATAGGGAAACCCTGGACAAGTTTAAAAAGACATTGTAAGAATAGTAGACTGACATTCTCATAAATTAGTATTTGAGTCAAGGTTTATGCAAACGTTTCACTTTTTAAAATGTGAAATTATTTCATTATGGTTAGCAAACCATAAATTGACAAGAGCAAACTACTAGGATAGGTTCAGAACACTTATTTCAGTGTTACAGTATTTATTTTAAAAGAAAGTGACTGCAGGAAGAATTTCAATAATACGAAAATATATTTGTCTTTGTAATGCTAGGGACAGGGAGTCTTATTAATGATTTTTCTAAAATCTAAACTAGGAAAGGCCTATGCAACTTTGAAACCATCACATTAACTCATTAAACTTTATTAAGCCCTGAGTAAAATGATAAAAATAGCCCTTAGTAAAAACAGTAGACTGACATCCTCAGATCGATCTTCAACAAATCCTTTTTCCTGTTTTGTGTTTTGCAATCTGATGAAGCCAGCAAGGACACCCACATACAAAATAAACTTAACTTCTTGGTAATATGACTATCAATCATTAATGCAGAATAATTTTATGTTATAGAATCTTCTCGTGACTTCAATTTCTATTAGCGCAATTAGAATGCCCATTAAAAAAACTAGTGGGTGTTTTCGTTGGTTTGTTTTTTGGAGCTGGGTTGGACAAATTCAGAAAAACATTAATGATTTGCTACTTTCTATGTGTAATGCTATGCTTTCTCTGTCACCCTTCACTCCACATCCTCTGACTCACAGACTATTTGGAGGGGACACCTGTTTTAAATGGATCTACAGGAAATACCTATGTGGTCTTTCCACAATCTGACCCTGCATCTGGTTGGCTGAAATATCATCATGATTCAAACAAAACAAAACAAATAAACAAAAAACCGCTGCCCACAGACTGATGTAATGGAGTGTGCCAACATTTACTGGAAGGCAGAAGGAATCCAGATTATATTTATGTTCCTGCCATTAAACTCTGGTGCTGCAGTGCAGGGATAGGTGGTGGGGGAAGAAAACTTAAAGGGCAAAAGAAGTTGTTTAACCCGCAAAAGATACATATTAAATCACACACACGTGGGCTGTACACCCAAAATTCCAAAGCATGTCTTTAAACTGCGTGCAATCTTGCAGCAGAAAGCGTTATTGGGCATCTCTTCCTTTGTATCTTTATATTGTAAGCTTATTCACATTTCACAGTCTGCACTGTTATATACTGATAGGTCATTAGTGAACGTCTCGCAGGAAAGTGCAGTGTGGCCTGCCCGGGATAGATTCACGGAGGCGTTTCAGTTAGCAGTGATGTGTCAACACTGAGCACCCATAACTGAGTCCGCGTAACGCAAGTCCCTCGAGGACCACCCGGGTGCGGGTTTGCACTCCACGCTGACAGCCCCACCCGGTCCCTCTGCACCGAGCACCCGCCCCGGCCACAGCAAAGACCCCCGGGCCGGACGCAATGGCCAGGGTTCCTGCTGCGACCCAGGCTCCCG